CTGTTACTTAATGCAGGAATTTATCTTTTGGTAATCCTGACCAATGACCTGAACTTCCTGTTTGAATGCTGGGTGATGCAGTTAAGATTGCTGATTCTGGAGACAGGCTCCTTGGGTTCCAGCCTTACCTACTGAGACCTACCATGGTCACTCACCTACTAGCCAAGTGGCCATGGGCAAATTCTTAACCTCTCCGTGCCCTGTTTTCCTGGCTTACTTTTACCAGCAGCTGTGTCCCCTGACAATAGGCAAAGATCGCAAGAGAGTTGACCTCTGACCCCCTTCCATCTAGTATTGAGAGATGAACGGAGAATCAAGTAAATGTTAGTGTTATACATCCTGTGAAGAAAAATATATTCGGGGTATAGTAGTTACCTCTAAAAAATGAAATTTTCAATATAGACTAGGGTGGTGACAAAGGAGGTGAGAACAGAACAGGTGAGTCTGTTTGTTGAAAGAATTTCTATCAATTATTCCTAGTTCTGCCGTCTAGAACAAAATAAGTGAGTTCCGTTCCTTCTTCTGTATGATAGCTCTTCACGTTATGAAATGTAAAATTATAAAAGGCATAGTTTGGGTGAGTATAGAATTTTTAAAATCTCATAATTTTAGAGATTATCTTGTATATTTTGGCTAAAATTTAGGAAAACAAAATGGACCATTAATGGATGATAGTTTTGTAGAGCTCTTTAACTTCTTAATTCAAGAAATTGTATGGCTATAAATTATAATTTATTTCCGTCAGCTCATATATGGTTGCTCAGCAAGATTGGGTTTCTCTCTCCTGTTGCTCCCCCTTGCCTACCCTCATCTCAGGGTTCAGAATGGTGGCTCTGAAATTCCAGGCTCTAGGATGTAGGAAGGGATGAAGAAGCTGCCAGGGACGTTTCTGTTTATATGTCATTAGCTGGAAGGTGCTCACATGGCCACATCTAGTTACAAGAGATGCTAGAATGTATTCTGTAGTCTGGGTGGCTATGTGCTCAGGTGTACTTTGGGAGTCTTATGTCTGGGAAAGGAAGGTGCAATAAATATTGGGTGACAACTAGTAGTGTGACAGAACTACTTTGTTTACCACTTAATCCCGAGTGTAATATTAAGTGTAATTAGTACAGTGCTTACAACAGTAGACAGTTTTATTAAATAGTTGTTCAGTGGATGAATTTCCTTTTTTGCTCCTGTCAAAATAGATATTGATCTAGATATTTACTTATATACATGATAAATTATGGTAAGGTTGTCCATTCTCAGTGTTTTTATAATCTTTCTCATCTACCATTTACAAATAAGGTGTCCCTGACAGTTTTCAGATAGTCATATATATATTGTACAGATACAATACTGTACAAAATTTATTTCAGTGCTCTTATTGTGGCTCTTTTTTTTTTTTTGCCCACTAAAACTTGGAGGCCTATTAAAAAAATCTTTTTTCGTATGTCTATGATCAACATTTCTTGCATGTAGAAGGTACTCAGCAAATGTTTTTAGATTGGATAAATGAATGAGAATAAAACTCTGATGAATCCAAGCCTTTCTTTTGATTTACATAAAGTTTTTGTCTATAATATACATAGAAGAATTTCTTGATCTCAAATCTGTATTTATTAATATTATAAGATTTTTAGGAGTATTCATTCAGCTTTCAGGTAGAATGTGATTATGATAAATTATTTAGATTTAATTAATTATGGTTAAGTACTAATTCATTTATGGATTGTTAGGCAAGAAAGGCTAGCATAATTCAGCAAAGGGGGGATTCTTAAAGCATTTCACTCTTTTGACCTCAGATATCTAATTAGCTTATTGGTGTGCTTAACCATGTCAAGGGAGGATGCCATTTCTTTTTCATTATTTAACAGAGGAAATTTTCTTCATGTATAAAGGTAAATGAGTCAGTTATTTCTCCTCGTATATCATAGACAAAGTAATACTTTATCATAATATTATTTTTGAGTGAACTCACTCACCTTTTGTTTGCTTGTTTTCCAGATTAACCATGTGGCATTAAAAAGCAAAACACTCATATGCTTGGCTCCTAGAGTCCTTCGTCTTCTTTGATGTTCTTATTAGAATAGTAATTTTTATTATCAAATGGAAAAGGAAAAATTAAATCATTTGTCCCTATTGTATTGACAAATGGATTGCAGTGCTAGTTAGTTTTGTTGAGGCTATCAGGGATTTGAGAAGAGAGACATACTTGTTTGGTCACCCAGGCAGTTTGGGTATTATAAAATTCCCAAAGATAAGTAATAAACTACTTAGGCATCAAGAAACCATTTAGGTTATTTTAATTGACTAGAAAGTCCCTAGAAATTGATAATGTTTTTCTGAAGTTCTGGAAACATATTTTGGAATGTTCGTAAGTTAGGTTGCTTGAACTTGATTTCTCCTGAGTTGTTTGTTTTATATGCTGGGAAAGTAACTTCAAACTTCTTTAAAGTTTTTGAGATAATTTTTATAGCTAGAGAAAGTTATTAAGATAAAAATAATCTCCAGTGACAGGAAACTCCGTTCTTAAATAAGTCCGTTTCATGTTTGGATTAATCTGAATGGGGGTATTATTGTGTATGGTTAAACATGCTGGCTCTGAAGTCAGACAGCTTCAGGTCAAATGTTGTGCCACCATTTATTACGTGACCTTAGGTGAGTTACTTCTCTGTGCCTCAGGTTTCTCTTCTGTATACTGGAAGATAATAATATTTCTTAGATTTGTTGTAGGTTTGAGAGAGCAGGGCAGCTAGCATTTAGAATAATGCTTAATATGTAATAAACACTTGATAAATGTCATTAATTGTCACTTCTGTTGTTATTAATATTTTTGTCCTAATGAGTTGAAACCTGACTCCAAAAAATATTTAGGAGATTCTCTCAGCTGACGCTTTCATTTCTAGTATATAGGTTATATGCCACTAATTGAAATAGAAGACAGGTTCGGGAGAGGAAGAGAAGAATGCTGAATTTAGTCTTGAACATGTTGAATTTGAGGTGTTTGTGGGATATTAATCTTAATATATGAATTTGAAGGAGGAGACACAGTCATTGGCGTATGGGTGGTATTTAAAACTATGAGAGATGAATGAGATAACATAAGGATCTACCTTGGGTCTAGGTTAGAAACTTGGGGACACTAACCTTTAAATAGGCAGAGGACATAAAGGAAAGAGCATCTGAGAGTTAACAAGAGAACCAGGAGAGAACATTGCCACCACAAAGAGGGCGTAATCGGTGGTGTCTCATGAAACAGAGATTACAGTAATCCGAAAACTGATAAGTATCCATGGCTTGATAATCAGTGGGTTTTTCATGACCCTTTGGTTTCAGTACAGGAGTAGAGGTGGAAGATAGCAGTGAATTTAGGGATAGTGATAAGGAAGGAAGAAAAGATTTAGGCTACTATTTTGAGAAATTTTGATAAGGTAAGTGTTGGAAACTAGAGGAGGATACAGCATAAATGAAAGGTTTTGGGGAGGGGGTATGGGATGTGGATAGGCTGCGGAGAAAGAGCTGTTAGAAAAGGAAAAGGTCCAATATGAGGAGAGTGTAAAAAAAGATGGGTTCAAGGCCACAGATTGACGAGACTGGGCTTGGACAGGAGGAGGGCTGCAGCATCTCTGAGGTTGGAGGAAAGAGGGATGTGGATAAAAGTAAGCCTTTAAGATAGAGGAAATCACTCCTAATGACTTCATTTTCTCTAAAGAAATAAAAAAAAAAGGAGTTTGTTGCTAAAAGGAATCAAGGGTTGGATAGGTCTTTTGAGGAGAATGGTGAAGGTTTAGAATAGAATTGAGGAAAATCAGAGAGGTAGCTGACAAATTTGTTCCTTGTTTGAGGGATTTAAGGATATGACTATTAGTATGGATATCATGAATGGATTATATGAAAAAGGAGAAGGACCATTTCATTTAACAGAGGATATATTTATTTAGCATCTCTTTGTACTTCCAGGAATCTTCCTTCCTGGGAGATTCAGATGAGCACTGACCATCTCACACAAGGAGGGTATGAGCTAATAGCTCAGGCTGTATGCTTTGTCACAAACACAAATGTTTCATGCTTGCTTCAGCAGCACATATACTAAAATTGGAATGATACAGAGAAGATTAGCATGGCCCCTGCACAAGGCTGACACACAAATTCGTGGAGCGTTCCATGTTTTTACAAGAATGGAAAAACAAGCACCACATGTACTCACCATCAAATTGTTATTAACTGACCAACACTTATGTGCACATATAGTAGTAATATTCACTGGGTGTCAGGCAGGTGGGAAGGGGGAGGAGGGGATGGGTATATTCACACCTAATGGGTGCAGTGCACACTGTCTGGGGGATGGACACGCTTGAAGCTCTGACTTGGGTGGGGCAAAGGCAATATACGTAGCCCAAACATTTGTACCCCTGTAATGTGCTGAAATAAAAAAGCGCCAAATACAAATGTTTAGATTAAAAATGGTAAATGACACATGAGTTTTATAAATATACCATGAGGGTTTGAAAGAGATAGAGGTTCCCTCAAAAAAAAAAAAAAATAAATAAAGGCTACATGTGAATTTTCTGATGAAATAGTAATGAATCTTGTTGTGTGTTTTTAGTTTATTACAGCATTTATTTATTCTTCTATAACTCAGTGATCAGCATTAAGCAGAGGAGGAGAAATAGGGTAATGAAACATGGTGAATGTTTTTCTGCCAAAAAAGTGTTCTAAGGTTGGTTATATTTTTATGTAGGAATATAGAATTCAATAATCTTCTCCACAAATGTTTAATGAATATCTCTGTGCTAGGTGCTGAGGATACAGAGATGATTAAGATACAGTTTCTGTCCTCAAGGAGTGCATACTCTAGTGGAAGAGACAGAAGTAGAAAGAGAACTTCAGTTCTGTGCAATGAGTGATATAAAAATGGTATATAGGAGTAAAGAAATTTCAGATACAGTGAAGGAAGCATGAATAAATGATTATGTTGGTATGACAGCAGATTTTTTTCTTTTTCTTTTCTTTAGTTGGAGAACATCAACTGACAGGCCATAAAGTTGCAGTTAAAATCTTAAATAGACAGAAGATTCGCAGTTTAGATGTTGTTGGAAAAATAAAACGAGAAATTCAAAATCTAAAACTCTTTCGTCATCCTCATATTATCAAACTGTAAGTATTTTTATACCTGATAATACAAAAAAGAGATCCATCTTGAAATGTTTTTAAAGAATTTTATTAATACAAATAATTGTTATCTTTAGTCAATCTTTTACAAAAATGTCATTTTTTTCATATTTATATTCAACAAGTGTGCATTTTACCTTCATCAGTCCTTTTTTGCATACTCTTGGTTAGAATTAAAAGTCATTGTTTTGAAATTGGTACTGTTTTCAAGTAATAAATGCAGTCTCAGAAGTTGACTCTTAACTCTAGTATTCATTTCAAAGGTTATTCAGGGCTTTGATATTCCTAGATTTATTTCTGTAATTTTTCCCTAGTTACTTTTCATTAAGATACCAGGGTATTTTCTTTGTGGAAAGATAGAAAGTAAATGTTAAATATTATCCACCATAGTATATTATTTTTAGAACTGAAAGTAATATCATAATTATTAGATAGTAAAGCTTTTAGGAAGCAGATGAATTTTTTTGGAATAAGTTACAAATTTAAAAGATAAGTAAATATTAAAAATAGTAACAAGTAAGCTCATTAATTAAATTGAAAGATAAGATAATTAATTTAAAATTGACTAGACCCATAGAAATTTAGACATTAAATATTCAATAGTATTCCTTTAAATCATTTGCAGTTGCAGTTTAATATTTATTAAGAAAACGTAATATGCTAGACACTAAAAATTATCTTTTTTATCTTAAATCTTGGATACAGTTTTGTAAAGTAAATATTAATCTTACTTATTGAGTATCTGATCATGGCCAGGAACTCTACTGAGCATTTTACCTATATAATGTCATATTATCCTCATGACAAGCCTCTTATGTAGGGTTATTTTATAGAACAAGGAAACTGCATATCTGAAGAGTATGAGCTGCTTATCCAAGGTCACACAGCTATTAAGTCACAGAGCTGGTAGTTGAATTCAGACCTGACTCCAAATGCCATGCTGTGAATCTCTACTCTAGCACTCCAGTCTTTCTTAAAACTGAGAGTGATAAAAATCCTTTTAAAAAAAAATTGTGGATCCCTGGTTTTGACTTAATTATTTTTAATTTACCATTACTTAAGTATTTAGAAACAAATAATTAGGTATAACTCCATATGTGTATAGTTTTAATACAATTATCAACCAAAATAAATTCACAATTTAAATGTGGATAAAATAGTGAAATCAATGAAATTCAAAACAGTATCAATGGTATAATGTGAGAAATAATGGTGTTTTATAAAAAACAAATCATTGTTAGTGAGTTTAATAGTAGAAACAGTAGGAAGAGGTACAATACTGCATTTATGTTTTGATTCAAATAAACTTGTTGCACAGAAAGCCTGTTCCTATAAGTATACTGTAAAAAAAAAAAAAGCATTATTAATATCTCTGAGGCTTTGTTTGCTAGTTCATTAAAATCAGACATTATATTTAGCCTAACTAACCTTTGTCGGTGAGCAGTGTTTGACTGTCAGTGTTAATGGGGAACAACTTGATAATCCCGTGGAGTTACATTGTTTACCTGATGATGAGGCTAGCATGTAGCTGTAGTGGGCAGAATAATGGCCTCCCAAATGTGTGTGTCCTAATCTAGAGAACCCGTTAATATGTTAGGGTACATGGCAGAGGGTAAGATTGCTAATCAGATGACCTTAAAATAGGGAGATTATCCTGGATTATCTGGGTGGGCCCAATATAAACACAACGGTTCTTAAAAGTAGTAGAGAGGGGTAGGAGAAGAGAGTCAAAGAGATTTGAGTATAGAAGCAAGGTCAGAAGGATAAGATGTGAGAAGGACTCAACTGGCTGTTGCTGGCTTTGAAAATGGAGAAAAATGAACGTGGACAAAGGACTGCATGCAGTGGGGGGGTCTCAAAAAGCTAGGAAATGCAAAGAAATTCTGCCCCAGAGCCTTCAGAAGGTAACATAGCCCCGTCGACACCTTGACTTTAGCCTACTGAGACATGTGTCAGGCTTCTAACCTAAAGAACTATAAGATAATAGATATGTGTTGTTTTGAGCCACTAAATTTGAAGTATGGCAGCAATAGGAAACCAATACAGCATCATTCTTGTAAATGAGTGGCCGGTCCAATTATTGTTGGGATTTGGAACATAGACCTTACGTGCTAGAGATGATCCAGAATATGTATATAGAGGTTTTTAAAGATTATCATAATAAATAAAATACCACCTATGATGTTGGTGACTCACCTGTCCTATCCTTTTTTCCTTAACTTTATTTATTTATTTTTTGCTGTTTCTATTTTATTTATTTTATCAGAGTGGTCACTTTACATATTCTTAAGGCTCATTATAAAGGTTTACTGTTTCTAATATAGTAAAACTATGTTTATGTAATAGCTCTGTACCTAAAAAGGTGTCCAAAGAGCAAGCCATTAACATACAGAAGGGAAAAACTATTTTATTTAAGAAAACCTGTATTTGAGTTTTTCATAAAATAATGTCCGGTTTTAGTCTGAAATGTTGGTTCTTAGTACACTCGTGGCCAAAGAATGACCAGACATACCAAAGTAAGGCAAGCATGAAAATGAGGTTTATTGAGGAGAGAAAGACAGGATTACAGAGCAAAAGCAAGATATAGGTTCAGAGTGTGATGATACATACATCACAGGTGACGAGTGGACCAATTGTCATAGCGAAGGGAGAGCAACAGGAAGGGCGCAAAAAGGGCTGTTTCCTTAACTTTAAAATGGGATACCTCATGGAATTATTTGAAAATTAAACGTTTTGGCACTGGTATAATGCTTAGTATTTAATGAGCATGGCACAAAGCAGGAATTGGCAACCTACAAACCGATTCCACTCCTCTTTCATGATTCCAAATGGGTTTCAGTTTACTGAACCAGTTCATATCTGACTTCGACTCCATGTTATTAATGACATATTCTAGTTACTGAGTAACTGCGAAGCAAAATCTCTGTTTTCTTCTCTACTGAGTGGCCACTTCCTGTAAGAGGAGAAAGCTGAAACGGCCGGATTACTAAGTGTGCCAGAATGAAAGTGGAAAAGGGGAAGATGGCTCCAGATTTGCCTTATACCTTGACCTCATCACCTTTAGAATGAGAACTCTGAAAGACCCCAAGGAAATCTAGGCCATTTGGGGTATAAGAGATAGTACTTGTTCTGTTCCTAGAAAAACACAAATCAGATTCTGTCAATAAGCAATTGAAATTGTGAGGATATAAAAGCTTATTTTTGATGTGATATCTATCAGTGTTTTTTTGATTCCATTTCTATAATTATTTCTAATTGTTTAATTTTTTGTTTGAGTAATTATTCCATTCTCATTTAAGATTATTATTTGCTATTTTGTTTTCTGAAGGAGTTATAGAACGTTGTCAGAGTAGGCAGAAAAGTAATTGGAAGAGGTAAATTTAATGTTTAAAGCTTTTGGCTTCCAGCCTTGAGCTTAATCCATTCAGCCACATTGCCTCTTTAATTATAGATCTGGTCTTAAAAAAAAAGCACTGAAGTATTCTTGCTACAGAACAAGCTTATTGGCATAACTTCTAATAGTGTTAGTGATTTAAACAGGGAGACAGAACTGATCCTTTGAGTGGTTTTGTTTGTTTTGTGCAGTCTTGGACTAACTGCCAAGAATAGTTTCCTTGTTGCAAATGGGCCTCTAGAATTAGAAAGTTTGAGCATTAAATACCAAGAATGAAGGATACTTTTGCATGATTTCTCTATTAACTCAAATTGAAAAAATATATATTATCTACCTAAAGCCCAGAGGTAGAAAATGAAAAGGAACAAATATGATTTAAAGAAAAATCCAAACTCCCTCATGAAATAGAATTTATTGAATTGATTTTTGTCCTTGTTTTTCTTTCCTCTATAGTTCTTAGTGAAACTTGACTTTAATTGGTGAAAAGATGAATACTTTCTAATTTGATAGAGATGATGTTTGCCTGTCTACTCTTTTTAGTCTTTATCTTATTTAACCTATGGATAGCTTTTTAACATTGTTTACCACCACCACCCTGAAAAGCTGTAGTCCCTAGGTTTCCATGACACTGCAGTGTTTTGATTTTCTTTTTCCATTCTTGCCTCTCTTAAAATGTTCTCTTATGGGCTCCTCATTGTCTTCCTGGCCATTAAATATTGATAGATTTCAGCATACCGAGCTAGTGTGATTTTCTTAGTGCACCTCCTTTGGCTGACTTCATCTACTACCATGGTATCATTTGTCATCTCTGTGCTAAAGATTTCCAAATCTATAGTTCTGGCCCATTTATTTCTCTTGAATTCTAATCACATTTATCAATCTGTTTATTGAGTGATCCATTCTGAAGTTACAGAGTCCTGTGAAACTATCAATAAATTTTTCTTTCTCTTCCAGACTTACTCCTCTTTTGTTCTTTTTTCTGGAAAATGAAAATACCATTCATGCAGTTTCTCAAGTTGAAAAGTTGAGCAGTCTTTAATTCTTTCTTTGCCCTCACCCTTTAAATACATTAATAATTAATCATTAATTTCTGCAACTCTTTTTCCTAAGTGTCCCCCAAATCTGTCCCTTTTTCTCTGCTCTTACTCTCAGATCACCGTCTTCTCTTGCTTCTTGTACTTCATCTGTTACTTCTACTTAGAATACTTTACCCACGTCTCCTTCCCCCTAGGCTGCCAATTTCAACAGTTCCAACTTTTCTTTGTATCTCAGCTTTTAAATGTAATTATAGTTGACTCTTGAATAACACGGGTTTGAACTCCTCAGATCAACTTATATGTATATGTGGATTTTCTTCTGTCTCTGCCACCCCTGAGGCAGCAAGACCAAGCCCCTCCTCTTCTTCCTCCTTCTCAAACACTAAACATGAAGACAATGAAGATAAAGACGTTTATGATGATCCACTTCCACTTAATGAATAGTAAATATATTTTCTCTTCCTTGTGATTTTCTTGATTTTGTTTTCTTCTAGCTTACTTTATTGTAAGAATACCGATATATAACATGCATGCAAAATATGTGTTAATTAACT